GCAGGGAGCCCGATGCGGGACTCGATCCCAGGACCCCGGAATCATGACCTGAGCTGAAGGCAGTCGCTTAACCAACTGAGCCACCCAGGCGCCCCCAATTAGATCTCCATTTAAACCTTTAAAAATAAAGCACTACTACTACTGGAGAACAGTGAGAATCAACCCCGGTGGACCACTGACCTCCCCCTTCCCCTGGGGGGCAAAACTGGGCTGAACCACCAGGGCCCAGGTGGCCCGGAGGCTCTGATCCGGTCCTGATAAGAAATCAAAAGAGCCCACCCCCACCCCAAACCATCTAACCACAGCTCTCGGTCCTCAGAGCCACCTCCCCAGGAGTCAGGCTGTCCAGACGCCCCATCCATTGTCCTCCTCCCCTGAGTAAGTCTGGCGGTGATTGGACACGGGAATGTCGTCCAACCACCAAGCCGTGTGTCTCGCCAGCCACCCACACGGTGTCTGTCTTATCACTTACTCTTGGAGGAATCCTTTGTCAAGGTCAGACATCTGATCTTCATAAAAATAGTTAAATTCTGGTTATCCCGGCAATACTCCCCTGACCTGCATCGTAAACAGCGTCAGCCTAGAATGTTTCCTCATGGACAACGTGGAAGGTACTACACGTTAGATAAATCAACACAGCCTACTCCAGACCATCATGTCCACATGCGGCCACCAAACAGCCTTGCTCAAGAAGAATGTGGCGTTCTCCCCCAAGACCCTACCAGAGGGAGGTGTTCCGGTCAAGTATGGCACGTTCATTTGATGGCACATCACACGGGGTTATGAATTACGGCGAGGAGAGGTTTTTATTGACATGGGAAATGCCCAGGTCACTTTCCCTTCAGTGGAAAGGTTAGAAAAAATCCCGTCTACAAACAAAAGAACACATGTGGACTCTGTAAGGCTATTGCGGTGAGAGGAGGGACTCCTTGAGTGTGGTCAATCCCCTGAGGGCTCCAAGAACAGCTAATTCCACCCCAAACCCTCAGTATAAACACCACACGGAGGGCCCATTGTTTACCACACAGCATTGTTTCCCAGACTGGTTCCTCATGAGCTTCAGCTCAAGGCTCAGGAACTGGGAGGCGCCCCCCTCATACCCAGTCCACGCTGTGGCGGGAGGAGAGGACATGGCCGTGTATGCATGGTCAGGGCATTAAATGTGTGGGAGAACCCAGACGGCCCCCCCGCCGCGGCTCGCTGGCTTCAGGACAAGTGACCGAGCAGAGAGAAGTGTCCGTGAGGGGCGGGGGCCGCCCGCAGCGGGTTTCCTCTGCTGTAATGGCAAACATTGGGTGTTTCCTCTTTATTCCTATCCCTGGCAAACTACTCATTTCTTGCCAGGTTTATATCAACTGAGCAAAATAAACACCAGTAATCTCACTGATGGCAGAAATTAGGAATGTCCTTCCATGCACCGCCCCCACCCCCAGAGTGGACAAATAATTCTGGGGGGTGGAGTTGGCACCCAGGTGGCATCTGTGGTTTATTGGGACACCTTTGTGCAGTTCAGTCCTGAAAGCATTTGAAGTGGCTGCCGCCCCGCCCCCACCCCCCACAGGTGCGTAAACAGCCCCAGGCAGCCTCAAGAGGCCCATGGCTCTCAGGCTTTGTCACCTTGAACAATTAACATCTCACTGCGGACACTTAGCAATCGCCTTTCAAGAACTAGAAAACAGGGGCGCCTGAGTGGCTCAGTTGGTTAAGCGACTGCCTTCGGCTCAGGTCATGATCCCGGAGTCCTGGGATCGAGTCCCACGTCGGGCTCCCCCTTCTCTGTGGGGAGCCTGCTTCTCCCTCTGCCTCTGCCTGCCACTCCCCCTGCTTGTGCTCACTCTCTCTCTCTCTCTCTCTGTGTCAAATAAATAAATAAAATCTTTAAAAAAAAAAAAAAGAACTGGAAAACACATCATCTGCCAGATAATTTAGGTCGTCGCCTGGCAAATTTGACATCTTCAAAAGTGATAAAGTTAACTTCAGATCGACTGGTGTCTGAATTATCACAAATTCTGAAATTAGTCCAGCATCCAGAGATTGGCCTAGTAAGAATCTCTCCAGATGGGTAACCCAGAGGCCGTGTCTAGGAGATTCTGGTAAGAAGGACTTGGCTGCTCTTGGACACATTATTCCCTACTAGAGTTTTTTAGCTTGTCAACCAAACGTTTTCCTGACATTTTACCAAATGGGAAACAAAAAAGCTTTCTCCAAGTAGCTTTCAACTTTACGCCAGGCAGATCCAAGTTCCTTGGCTTCTGCCGTTAAAACCGGATCAGGAATGTCACTGGTATTCACATTCGGTGACTACGTTGCTAGTAACAGTTACGCTCTCTCCGTGACCAAGGAACGAGGAGGGGTTAGCAGGGACTCCGCTGCGGCAGGCAAGCGGGCAGGCTGCAAGCCAAGTTCACAGAACAACAGCCCTGCCTGGGCCTCTGGGATGTGGGCCTGGGCGTCGAGACGGGCTCCCGCGAAGAGTCGGGGTGGGGTCAGGCCGGGATAATTAGAGGGAATGTCCAATCCAGTCACGAGGCCAGGAGAAGCAGGTGTCGGCCGGCTGGTTTCCCAGCTGCCCCGACCTCTTGGCCTGTTATTTCACCTGGAGTAATAGGCCCCCACCTGCACCAGGTGCTCAACCTCTTACTCACCAGAGAAATGCACATGAAACCAAACAGCAGAGCCCGACACACCCACCAGGACGCCCATGAAAGGAAACTTCACACGGAGGAACACACAGCAGGCGCTCACACACACACCAAAGTGGTAATCACGGGGACTGAGCCCTCATCTGGGATGACCCTGACCTTAGCGAGTCCTTTTGCGGTTCACACCCCGTCTCATGCCACGAAGGCTCCGCCAAGGGGCGTCTTCAGGTCCAGGTGGCAATGCTCCTGGACACGAGCCTAGATCTTTCTGGCAACGCCACTGTACAGAGAAAACAGTAGGGTAAGTGGCAGGAAAGAGCAGTTCTCTCCCTTAACCACTGGACTTCACTTCTCTTCATAAAATACTCGTATGATCTCTAGTTATGTCTGTCCCTTCGAGACGTGGCCGTGGAACACTGCTTCTCAAAGGTTATTGCCGGTTTGTTTAAAATGCGACGTCCCAGGGGCGCCTGGGTGGCTCAGTCTATGAAGCGGCCGGCTCTTGGTCTCGGCTCAGGTCATGGTCTCGGGGTCGTGGGATCAAGCCCCACGTCGGGTTCTGCGCTCAGATTGGAGTCTGCTTGAGGTTCTCTCTTTCCTTCTGCCTCTCCCCCACCCCCCGCTCATGCGTGCTCTCTCTCAAAGAAATAAATAAAATCTTAAAATAGGTAAACAAATAAAATGCAACATCCTGGACCCGGCACAGAGGTTCTGATGACTGGCTGAGATGCAGCCCAGAAATGTACCTTTTCAGAGACTCCCAGATGCCTCAGATGCAGGTGGTCATCGTGCACACCAGGACGATTTGGGGAGTGAAGGAACATGATTAAGGATTAAGCCAGGAAACAGCTTAGGGAAGTTAATTCTAACACACTTAAAAGTTTGCCTCCCCCCTCCTCTCTCAGCCAATGTTGGGGAAAAGGACAGAAAATCATAGTGGTCAGGGGAGGAGATCAGGGGAGGGTGTCCTGCGTTAGGATGTCCTCATGTATTTCCTTTCGGTTAGAGGCTTCCATCCTTTATCATTATTTGGCATCTTTTATGCAAGAATGATAACTAGATACAGAAGTACTCGACAACCGTAAAGCTTTTCCAAATATACCTTGCTGGTTTCTTAACAGCTTTGTGAGGGGTGCAGGGCAGTTACCATTAACGTGCAGACGGGGAAGGACACACAGACCAGAGACGCGACTCGTCCAGCCTCGCTGGGGTCCGCACACTCGGCAGCCTCCCATCCGCCTTGGAGCACACGAGATGCCCCTGTTTGAAGGAGACAGACAATTTCTGGCATCTCTTTCTCCCCCGTCTCCAGCGATGCCTGCTGACGGCCGTGTCCACCATGGGGTGGCTGCCGTGGTCCCGCCAGGCATGTCATCCCCTCAGACGACCCCAGCCCTGAATTGCAACTCTGACTCCACCTTTGTCAGAACGGCCTCTCTGATTACAGGCTCCCGGCGGCCCCCTCCCCACATTCACTCAACGGTGTGGCAGGTCCTCAAAATATTAAAAATGGAACTGCCATTCGACCCAGCAGCCCCACCTCCAGGTGCACGGCCAAGAGAATGGAAGGCGCGGCAGCGAGGGGTTACGCGGCCACCCGTGTTCACACAGCATCACTGATGGCAGCCAAGAGGGGGATGCAAGCTGAGCGCCCGTCGCTGGATGAGTGGATGCCGTCCCGCCTCCTCCTACAACATGAAAGCCTTGAGAGCCTTATGCTAAGTGAGAGAATCCGGGCACCGAGAGGCAAATGCACCGTGAGTCCACTTACACGAAGCTGTCCCATTCATAGAGCCGGAGAGAAGAGGGTGGGCAACGGGGGCCGAGGGAGGGAGAAGGGAAGTCAGTGTCTCCTGGGGAACTTAGGGAGTTTCAGTTTGGGAAGATGCAGAAAGTTCTGGAGAGGGTGGTGGTGATGACTGCACACGGTGTGAACGTCCTTGCTGCCGCTGAATTGTGCACTTAGCAGTGGCTAAGTTGAGGGCGCCCGGGTGGCTCAGTTGGTTAAGCGACTGCCTTCGGCTCAGGTCGTGATCCCGGAGTCCCGGGATCGAGTCCCGCATCGGGCTCCCTGCTCCGCGGGGAGCCTGCTTCTCCCTCTGCCTCTCTCTCTCTCTCTCTGTCTCTCATGAATAAATAAATAAAATCTTAAAAAAAAAAAAGAAGAAGTGGCTAAGTTGGTAAATTTTATATTATGTGTATTTTGCCACAATTAAAAAAAACCCTAAACTCCTGTCTTCCCCTCCAGCCTTGCTCCGTGCTGACATTTCTCATGCTGCTGGATGGCACCGCCGTGCTCCTGGTGGCTCGGGCCAGGGGTCAGTTGTCCCAGACTCGACCCTCACTCCCCCGTATCAAGCAGGCCACCAGGCCCCCACGTGGTCCCTTGCCACCCCGTGGCCGCCATCACTGTCCGTCTCTCCCGGGTCCGGCTTCCGTCACTCCTCACCCAGACCACACGAGAACCTCTCAGCTGGTCTCCGGCCCCCTGTGCTGCTCCAGCCCATCGGCCACACGGACGTCTGTGGGGAGCTCCCCAACGCTGACCGTATTCTCCCCCGCTCACAGTCCTCTGCAGCTGGTGGGGTGCCCTGGGGCTCCGGCCCCCGCGGCTCTCCCTCTGAATCTCCACGCCCAACACCTGCTCCGCCTGCTTCCTAGAATGTCATTTCTCTCCCATCAACTCCTTACCTCCTGAAAGCATTCTGGATCCAGAGACCATCCCAGGGGCTCCCTGTCACCCTCCCTAATGGGTGAGCCTGCCAAGCCATCCTCCGCCCCACCCCCCCAACGGCATGCGATCACCGCTGCCCTCTGCAGAGCGAGGACTTGGGGCTGGGGCCCGAGTCTTGCCTCTCGTGTCCCCACCACATGGAACACAAGCCGTTGAAGAAGGGGAGGAGTGTGGAGGAGGAGGGAGGTGAGCCCACCCTCGTTGCTATTCTCTTGCTTGGTAGTTTATAAACCCACTCTGCAAACCTCAGGGCCACAGAGTGGGCCAAATTTCCTTCCCAACTATGGCTCTTTCTAAAAAAGAAATTTACCAGCTTCAGAGACCTAATGTCTTAAAACTTAAAAGCCAATCTTGATAATAGTGTTAAGAAAGCACATTATAAGCCAAGGGTGGTGGCTTGGACAGCAAGAATCTAACTTAAAAGACCTCTGGGCCGTGCACTTTAGGAAAAGTTAAAAGTGGATGATGTTGTTGATGTATCCTTGTGCATTTAACAAGCCTCTGTTGAGCGGCTGGTAAATGCGAGGGGCCCAGGCTGCAGGGGGCAGGCTCCTGACTCGCCACACGGGAGGGGCCCCGGTGAAGGAAAGTGGCCTTCATTCTTCCTGCAAGCGTCTGCTCTGTTCCCAGTGCCCTTCTAGGAGTCTGGGCACTCGCCGGCGGTGAAGGCGAGGTCCTTGCTCACCAGCAGTTTGTGTTCATGGAGGAAGTAAGACAGTTAAAATGAGGTTAGTGAAAGCATGTGATATGAGCGCAGGTGGGCATTGAGGAGAGCTGAGGAGGGCCGACCTTGACCAGGGAGAATCTGGAAGAAAGAGCTGGCCTTGCTGGCTGGTTTGACACGCGGGGTGAGGGAAAGGCGTCTCCAAGGCTGGTCTCCAGGGGAGCCACTGGGCAAAGAGGGGCGCCATTTATGCGGGCGTGGAAACCTAGGGAAGGTGCGCATTTGGGGCGAACTCCAGCCTGGGAGAGGTCACTGCACTTGAGGTGCAGATGCCCGGCCTAGTGAGGGGAGGCTGGAGTCCAGGCTGGGTGGGGGCGACACGACGGGGCCACCGGGGAGAGCAGACCCTGCACAGGGAGTGTGGTGGGGACGGGGGTCCTGCTGGCGAGGGCGCTCACCCAGGTGCTGGGGCAAAGGGGTCGGATGCCGGCTCCAGTCAGAAAGGCCACGGGAAAGACGAGGCGTCTCAGGGGATGGGAGCGGGCCCACACGGTGAGGCGGGGAGACCCTCCCTGGCACGGAACAGCAGGAGGTCTGGCAGGGCCAGCCGAGGGCAGGGTGAGGAGCAAGCCTGGAGAGGCCGGGGCAGCCGGGGCCAGGGTCCCCACTGTGCTCGAGTCCTTGTTGCTTGTTTTTTAAGTGACCCTAGAAAATGGTGGATTTGTTCCCTTCTTATTCAAAGATCTCTACTCCTTTGTTCAACTCCTAAAGGGCTCGAGAGGGTAGCAGGCAGACACGAAGACCCCAGGAGCGCTGGCGTGCGTGAGTCTGGAGAGCTCCGTGGGGACGCCCGCCCACGCTGGGGGCACGGCCGAGGCCCGGCTCTGGGCTTGGGCTCCCACTTCTGGTCCCGGCTCTGCCACGTGACGTTGGCCCAGTTTCTCACCCACTCCGTGCTTCAGAGTCCCCTCTGTGGGCGGGGGAACGGAGGCCTACACCCCCAGACCCCAGATTGAGTGAAAGTGTGCACGGAAGCATGCAACACGGTGCCCAGAGCACAGCGTGCGAATCACTTCTTTTCTAATGAACAATCTCTGCTCTGCCTTCTGTCCACTTTCCACCACCTGCACACTGTGATGGGTGTGACGTTAGAGTCTGGAAGGAACCGGAACCAGACTTCCGGAAGACAGGCCGCATCCCTGTGCACCCCGCGCCACCCGGTCACTCAGCTTCCAGCTGGGGCCTCCCATCCACGCACCACCCCCAAGACAGGCAAGCCCTTGCCTTCCTCATCCTCAGAGTTTGATCCCCAAGAGCTGCTCTTTTTTGGCAGAACAAGAACAATGGGTTGAGAAGTGAAGGACCCCGCCAGCCGCGGACAGCCGCTCTCACTCTGCAGAGGGCTCCCGTCCATCCGCCAGCCGGATGCACGCCATTGCTGCCGTCCACACAGTGCGTGGAGACTCCGTATGGTTCTCGGTCTGGAAGGGTATGCGACCTCTTAGCGACGCTTTGCCCGAGCAAGGCCACCGCCACTGTGAAGGTCTGTGACTGTTCACTCAGGACGCATCACGATGTGCCAAGTCAACTTACATCAACAGTTTTAACGAAAAGCAGGTGGGAGATTTCAGGGACCCTCAGGGGCTCTGCAAAGTCCAACGCAGACCCTTTTGCATGTACACGTGACCCCCCAACCAGGGACTTAATTACCCTAGAGACAGGTGAAGAAACGGAAGGGTCCTCGCAGCCCTGTTCCACCCGCTGGCTTCCGAGCCCTGGGCTCTCTCTGCCTCTCTCCACCCTCAACTCAAGATGGAAAATGATGAATTTCCTCCCGACACTCTGCATCTGTCCCGGCCAGCCTAAGACCAGCCTCCCCTGGGTAGATGCACCCCCGCTGCTTGGAACACTTCCTCCCAACCAAGGCCAAGCACGTCCTGTGTCCTCAGGGCCTCGTGCTTACCGACCTGAGGGACAAGCCCAGGCAGGTGGTGAGGAGGGAGGCCTGGCTTCTGTCCCCTGTGCATCAAAGGCCATTTCTGCCCTCTGGCCTGTCTCCCCAACTGCAAAGTCTCTTCCAAATGTTGTATTCTGGGCTGTCATAATCTGAATGACAATAACGTCAGGCCCTACGAGAGGCTGATGGGGACAGTCCCAGTGGCCCAGCGATGACTCAGGTGGACACTGTGGTCGACAAGCTCAATGCCCATCCTTCCCTCCCTCCTCTCTTTCACCAGCAATGACATTTAGGGGACTGACCCCATGTCTAGGGTTGAGTCCCTCCTTTTTCACTCACGATGGGTCAGGGCTTCCAGATAGACCCGTAGGCACAGGCATTGTCTAACAGTGATCCGGGCCAAGTCAGTGAACGCACGAGAAGCTTGCTGAGGCCTCTAAGGACAGTAGGTAACTCAGAGACACTGACAGGTGTCCTCCAATGACAGAGACCCAGGCTCTGGGGGATGCTGACGCTGGATGGCCACTGGAGAGCACACAGACCGGGTCCTGAGGGACAGGATGGGGCTTAGCTGCTTGATAAGCCAACCCTGGACCCACTGAACCCCTCGCTCTGCAGGCCCCCAAATTC